GCAGTAAGTTTAGCATACCTGAAGGCTCTGATTCTGAAGGTTTTCTAAGTGAGAGTGAATATGACACTTTTGCTGATTCTAATGAAATAGACTCAAGTGGCCAACCCACCAAAAAATGGATCGTCAAACTATTTCAAAAAACTCTCCTACAACATGAGGACGAAATGTCTAAAAGGATAAGCAAAACTGTAAATAAAGCAGTGACTCGGGCCCTCCAGTCTACACAGACTAGGGTGACCAAACTGGAGGAAGAGAACGCCACTCTGAAAGTAGCTGTGAGTAGTCTTGAAAAACGTATTGATCAAATAACTATCGATGTTAAGGTACAGCTGGAAAGTAACATTTTGGTAAAAAATTGCTTCACCAGCACATGTTATTTTCTGGTACAAAATAAAGTATGAAGACATTTGTCAATTGCCTTGCTTTTTTCAGGAAAGTATCATCACATTGTCTTCTTTAAGAATATCTAGTAGGAGTTTGATGGGAACTCCAGGAAATTCTGATATTTCACACTTTCTATTTTTTCAAATTTTCTTTCAAAGTTTTCAGACAGCACAGGAGCTACCATTGACCTGTTTCCAGGTTTACTAAAAGTAGACAGTGTAATGATACTTTCCTGAAAAAAGCAAGGAAATAAACACATGCCTTCATACTTAATTTTGTACCAGAAAATAACATGTGCAGGTATAGCAATTTTTTACCAAAATGTTACTTTCCAGCTGAACCTTAATCACAATGCCCAGTATAGCCGCAAAAATACAATAAGAATACTTGGAATCCCTGAACTTAGCCCAAACGATATAAGAACTGAAAACTGTATCCATACTGTTTCGACAAATGATGACATTATCAACAATCTCCCTGGGCTGTTTTCGCCTGACAATGTAGAAGTGGCACACAGAATTGGTAGATTCTCAGCTGAACATGCAACCAGGCCACGACCTATCATTATGAAATTCAAATTTAGAGAATATAAGGATGAAGTCATCAGAAAACGCAAGGCTCTGAAGGGAACTAACATTATTGTGTACGAGGACCTAAGCCCAGGGAATCGTAAATTGCTATATGACGTAAAACAACATGGACTGGTTGAAAGTGCCTGGTCATCAAATGGGAAAATCTTGGCGAAGCTCAAACGGGGCGACATTTTAAGTTTTGGAGTCACTGATGACATTGACTCCCTGATCCAACAGACCCTGGCCAATCCTGGTGGGCAAAACCGACGTCCTTGGTCGTACAACAGACCCCCGGCAACAACCATCACAACTACTGAGGTAACCAGTGCTGTAGCAAGTGCAACTAACACTGACTAAAACTATTGTCACGAATGATTGTCCGAGGGCAAGTATTACTCTGAACATTTTCCAACGGATTCAAATACAAAATAGTGCTACTGAATCCATTCTAAAACATAACTTTTTTACACAAAAATAGAGTACGAACCTCTGTTAGTACACCTAAATTGAATATCATACTTATAGATAATTAAAACTTATCAAAAACTGTGTTTGAAAAGTACCATCTTGGTGCAATATTGAATGTACACAAGTGTACATCTTGATAACCTAACTGTACTTATTGTTTACATCGAATGCGCATGCGCGCGGTCATACAGACTGTACAGAAACATAACCCGCTTGCAAACTGCAATGCTTGTTCGTATCACTGAATGTCTGGTTTGAAAGGACTGTTTTGAATTCAAGGTACGTGTATATAGTTAGTAATAAGATTATTGTTCCTTTGTCGACTCGTATATGCTATATGTGTTGTTTCGGAGCGACTCATTTGTACAGTATGTTTTTGGCTAATGATTTGCACACAATTACAGACCACTAGCACTTACAACCCTTCCATAGAGGCATCGACCTGATTATCACTCTTTATTTAGTAACTGTACTTTTAAATTTTAGAAAGTTTTTGAGTCTATAACAGAGATGCTGCTCTTGTGAGCTATTACTAAATGGTAAGACATGTCGGCGAGGCTCTGTATCCTTCGCCGCCAGGTTAACACCACAAATCATCGCTCTTAGGTAGAGGGAATTGTAAGTGGCTATTGATCTCAGGGTAACAAAACTTGATCCCTCAAATACAGTCTATGAAATAACATGACTGAAAGTATAGTATCTCATTAAACTTACTGCATTCTTATCCTTGTAAACCAGATGGGATAATATTGCTAAATATACCTCAAACATATACTCTGTTTCGTCTCCATAGATACACTTGATCATGAATGACTTAGAGTCTATTGAGTTTAGAGATTTGATGTATTAGTGGCCCCTTTCTCTTGTATAAAATGCAACCATGATAACTGTATAAATGTATATCATTTGTGAGAAAGGGTTGACTTTAATTTTAATAATTTTTTTAACTTTTAATAATTTACTACTGAGGGAAAATTGACCAGTTTAGGTAAGGAGTTTATTGATATAAAATAAAAGTACATTTTCAGACCTGGTTTTGCATCATTGGATGTGTGAACAGTAGTTCTGTAAATAATTATTTTCACTATATACTTGTCAAAGCAGATTAATTGCTTGGAATTATGTATGTTTGATCTGACACAGTAGTGATTGTCTTTTATTTATATATTTATATACTCTCTTATTTATATTGACTTAACATATGTCTTCTCATATCCCTCTCCACACTTCGTGTACATGGAAAATTCCATGGGACACCATCACTGTACTGGGGCAGTGGCAGGCAGGTCGGGGCTTGGGACTGGGGCTGGGGTGATAAGACAGGGGGTAGGATAGATCCCGTCCAATAGTGGAGGGTGACTATTGGTCTATTTAATTTGAGACACAAATTATCTTGCACCACCTCAAACAGAGAAGCAACATCTCCTGTCCCACCATTTTACCAAATCTATGAACAGATAATGCCTCCCCTGGCTCTATACGTGAGTCTATATATCTTTTGGACCTTCGTATATCCATACATGACTTTAGTGTTTTTACTCTTCTTCTATCTTATTGGCTTCATGACAACTTGCATTATTCCCCTGCTTGTGACTGTTTACCTTATTAGGTCCCACGTTAAATCAATGATAAGTACCTATTCTATTATTCTGAGTACCAAAATCCTGTTAACATCCCTTTTGATACCTGGATTGTGTATTGTAACTTTTATTCCAAATATGAATATGCTGTTACTCCTCATAGCAGGGGATGTTCATCCTAATCCAGGACAAAATAATTTGACATTTCTGTTCTCAAACATTAATAGCTTGACAGCCAATAACGGCCTAAGATTTGAATCCCTAAAACTCAGGGTAAATGAAATTAACCCAAGTGTTGTCGGCCTCTGTGAGGCCGGTATCTCAAAAATAAGGATGGATTCTGGTGACTTTGACTTAAATGATTACAATACATTTTCTAGTGAACTTGGCAGGGGTCTGGTCCTTTATATCCATAACAGTATAGTGACCAAGGCATTTAAACCTGGTGATCTTAATTTAAATGGGATTGATGCCCTTCTTTTGACTATCATTGTGAACCATAAAAGAATCCTTATTGGCTCATGCTATAGATCACCAAGCCAGAATGCCACTGAAACACGTAATTATTTTTCTTCATTAAACAACTTACTTGAACAAATAGAAAGGTACCGACCATCCTTTGATCATGTTATTTTGATGGGTGACCTCAACGTAGTATCATATTAGGCATGACCGACCACAGCACTATCACTGCACAAATAAAGATTGGAGTAACCAAATCCAAACCTATAAAAAAAACTATTTGGAAATACAACGAAGTCAACTTAGAAAATCTGAACAACGCAATCAGGAACACAAACTGGTTACATATTTTAAATGAGAATATAGACTTAGATTTGGCTACCTCTAACTTTATGAATAAACTCATGGATATATACAAATCCAGAATTCCAAATAAAATTATAACTGTTCGGTCAAATGATCAGCCATGGATCACCAGTACACTTAAAAAAGAACTATCGAAGAAGAATACACTTTATAAGAAATTTTCCAAATCTCCCTCTCAACTTAATAAATTAATATATGACCAACAGGCAACTAAAGTTGCCCAACTTGTTGAACAAGCCAAAATAGATCACGAAAAAAAAACCTTATCATCAATTGACCAGCTAAATAAGTCCGATAAAAATTATTGGAGAATCATCAAATCATTTTTAGGCACAAATTTGACGAAAAACAGCATATCTAGCATTTATGATGAAATTACTGGACATGCACTTTCAAATAACCTTGACATTGCAAACAAATTCATGAACTATTTTGCTTCTAAAAACCATACAGATGCCTATTTTGACCATTTGCCTCTATTCCCTATGAGGACAAATTCTTTACTCATTTCCGCTAAGACTGACCAATTTGAAATTATGAAAATAATTCTCTCCTTAGATACCTCCAAAGCATGTGGGCCAGATAATATCACAAACAAAATGTTGAACCTTACAGCTCATACCATTTCAAAACCTCTTACCATATTATTTAATAAACTTCTAACTAAA